TTTTAACACTACATATCGATGGCTGAGTGGAAGATCGACTTATCTCGACAGCCAATTCGAAAACAGCCTATCTCAGAAAACTTTTCAAGAATGCCCTACTTCAGAATTTGATTGAAAACGCCCTATTTCAGAATTCAGTTCATACGTTTATGATAGGGCGTTCCCTATCTCAAACGAAAATATATTAGGGTTATTCTCGAAGTCTTGCACGTAGCACGGAATATATCAAATGCAAAAATACTATTCCAAATTTGCAAGAGTACGAGAGCCCCTCATCGCAAAATAGTAGCATGCATTGGTAGAGAACAGCGAAGTTCTGTATCAAATACAATAAGAAGATACAGCAAAAAAAAAAAATAAAGTGAGCGAAATTAAAGGAATGAGAGAAATATGTAGCAATTCCAACAACAAAACAACTAACAAAGGGTCGCATTTATCTTGCTATGCTTTTTTGCAAAATATATACATGGGTTTCGACGTGGAATATTTTGCAGCGATAGGAAATGATGTTTCCCATGTATTTTGTTGTTGTGTATTTGCAAGTTATGCAATCTGTGCTACGTGCAAACACTGCAGGATTTCGAGAATAATCCTTTTGAAAATGTGCTGGGATAGGGCATTTTTGAACCGAATTCTGAGAGTGTCTTTTTCAATCAAATTTTAAAATAGTGCGTTCTTCAACCAAATTCTAAAATAGGGCGTTGTTGACAAATTTTCTGAGATAGGGCGTTTTCGAACTGGCTGCCGAGATAGGTCGATCTTCCACACGGCCATCAATATAGTCGGCTACAAAGAGAGCTAAATTTGATTAAGTTAGCGCCTTCCTATATTTTAAAGTAATGATATACGCCTGCTGGAAGTGTCAAATGAAAATAAATCATTCTTTGTGAACTTCTATTGCCCAGCTTCACCCATTTGTTTAATGAATGAAATCTATTTTGTATGAAATTTAACGTGTTAGTAAATATTTCGCGAGTGGGTTGGCTGAAAAAATCCTGACCCAAATATTTTAAATTAAATATTCAAACATATTATTAAGATTAAAATATTGCAATCATTTGTTTAATGTACAAATTATATACCAATCGAAAGTATGCAGCCTATATAATGTCAAAACGTTGGGTTGTCTGTTTTTTCCTGGCTTACCTATCGGGCTGGTAGATATGAAGAGGTAAGTAATACTCATCTGTTTAACACATTCTATAGGCTTAATGCTTTCGATTAGTATATATGTAATTTGTTCATTTAACAAATGAGTGAAAAATTAGAAAAAAAAAATATTTTTGGATATTTCATCAAAAATATACTGGCCAGGACTTTTTCAGCCCACCCACTTCCGAAATATTTCCTCACACGTTACAAATTCACAAAATAAATTTCATCCATTAAACAGAAGGCTGAAGGTCGTGCCCTATTTGGATCTTCTACTATATACAAAAACTCATTCTACAACTACTTTCAAGTTCTTTGTGAAAGTCGAACTTTTTTTCTTCTCATTAAACTCGCCATTTTAATTTTTGCTGGTATAACATAAAACCATTAAAATACCTTTAAAAGTATATGAATCGAAAGAGTAGAATAAGACCAAGGACCATTATTACTTTTATATATTGTATTTCATCAATAAACTTTTTATAACTAAAAAAATATTCTTGAAGAGCTCTACTTTGAATACGTTTTGTTAAAAATCGTTGTATGGTGCATGTTGTATGTTGTATGAAGCGGGGAAATTTGTTCAACAACAATTTCATTAGGAAATAAACCAAAGTGCTTTAATATTGTACAAATCCGTTGAAAGAAAATTACTTTTCGTTTTTAAAACATTAAAATCTATTGATTATTAAAAAAAAAATAAAACCAATAAAAAAAATCCAAAATAAAAAAAAAATAAACCAATAAAAAAATAAAAAAAAAAATAAAACCAATAAAAGAAATACTATATAAAAAAAAAATTCTCTACGCCGGAGGAGGACTCGAACCCGGACCCTCTCGACCGGCAGCCTAATGCTTAGACCACTGGACCATTGCGACTCTGTGGGCGGCGTGGGCAAAAGGCATACATAAACGCTATCAGTTCACTGTCTGTGTTTGTTTTCACCACACATTTTTGGTGAACTTTTTGTGACTCTCTCCTCCTGAATACCCAAATCATCTCAAGTCACAAAAATAGGCACTAATTGCTAATCTCAAATTTAGTGACTTGAGATGAGACTGAATTACTGAATCCCAGGTGTTTGGGGTGATTCGTGGCCGGAGACCAAAATAAAAACATCCACAA